CTGCCCCTATATCATTCGTGCAGGTCCTCGCGCTGGTCGCCAGTGCACCGGCTTTCACACTGAGTACCGCTGCTTCGCTCGGCTTAGCGACGCATGGCGCGTCAAGTTTCCTGATGCTACTGAGTTCCCCAACTGGGCAGACCTGCTTAGGCGTGATGTACCTATCGTTGATCTTGACTATGATGCTATTCTTGCTGCCATGTGTGCATTGACTGTTAGTGCTGAGGGTGACTGCTACTTGTGTGTGCCACCTGACCCCGGTATAGCCCCAGGTATAGCGCCTGCAGCTCTAGGTGCTAGTGAGTCTGCCCTCCCTGGTACTGCGTCCGCACAGGCCTTGCACACCTTTACACTTGACTCTGGTGCTTCCCGCTGTTTCTTTCGCGACAGCACCACAGTCACTCCCCTCCCTGCACCTGTCCCTGTCTCGCTGGCTGACCCCTCTGGGGGCCCAATGCTAGCACGGTCCTCTACCATGCTTCCATGTCCGGCTGTCCCGTCTGGTGAGCTGTCTGGTCTCCACCTCCCCTCGTTCTCTACGAACTTGGTGAGCAACGCCGTCCTTCAGGATCACTGGGTTGACACCTTTACTCCTGGAGGACAGCGTGTGGCGATCTGCACGTGCTCTCGGACAGGCCGCCACCTGGCCACGTAAACACGTGCGCCTGGGTCCAGTCTGTACACCCTCACCACTGCGTCGCGCTACACCCCTTTGTCTCCTCAGCTGTACGCGTCCGCTCAGGTAGCTTCCCAGTGTGAGTGTCGCCACCTGTCGCACCAGACTCTCCTTTGGCACTGTTGGTGACGCTGGTACTGGAGGTGCTGGCACTGGAGGTTCTGGGGCTGCTGGTGACGCTGGTACTAGAGGTGCTGGCGCTGGAGGTTCTTGAGCTGCTGGTGACACTGGTGCTAGAGGTGCTGGCTGGTGCTGGTGGCGCTACTGGTGCTGGTGGCGCTGCACAGCCACGACTGTTCTTTGCTCCGCCGTCTCCGTCGTCTCTGCCACCGCCTGACTCCGTGCTTCGCCAGGTTCTTAGCCTCCCGTCGTCTACTGGTCTTCCGTTGCAGCCTGGCTCACCGCTACATGCTCCTTCTCCTTACACTGAGCAGCCAGGAGGTCTTGCTGAGCGTCGTGAGCCTGCGTCGCGTCCTGTCTCGCCTGTCCGCACTGTTCGTCGTGTTCCTCGTCCGCGTCCGCCGGCTGTCCCCGGCACATACCTCATAGCTCTGCGTCCTTCCTCTGCTCCGCAGCGTGTTCCTCTGCCGTCTCCTCCTGCGTCTTCTCTGTCTGTCGTTGCTGACCCTGAGTCTGACCGGTTTCGTGCTGAGCACCCTACTGTCACGCGTCTGCTAGCCACTGTTGTCACTGACCCGTCGTTTGAGTCTGCTGTTGCGTCTGCCTTCGTCGCTGAGCTTGTTGACTTTGCTGATGCCTGTCGTCTAGACTACGCCGCTAGTCTTGTTGCTGAGTCTGAGTCTGTCTGTCCTCCGTCCGTCGGGGGTGAGTGTGCTCTTGGCACGGACGTCCTTGAGGACAGGTAGGAGGACCTTGAGTGTCTTGCAGCCGCTGCGCCTCATAACTCGTGGCCATGCTGCTTGCCCCTGAGGGAGACCCGGATGCTCCAGTCATCCCGACCCCGCGCTCTTACGCTGAGGCGATCGCGGGTGAGTACTCCTCTCAGTGGCAGACAGCCATGGACGCAGAGATGGCATCCTGGAAGTCCACAGGCACCTACGTCGATGAGGTTCCCCCTCCTGGGGCGAACATCGTTGATGGCATGTGGATTTTCAGGGTGAAGTGGCCGCCGGGTTCTCCGCCTGTCTTCAAGGCTCGTTACGTTGCTCGAGGCTTCAGTCAGCGGGAGGGAGATGACTTCTTCCAGACCTTCTCCCCCACCCCGAAGATGACCACTCTTCGGGTGCTGCTGCACGTTGCCGCTCAGCGTGACTACGAGCTTCACTCTCTTGACTTCAGCACAGCCTTTCTACAGGGCAGCCTGCACGAGGAGATCTGGCTGCGCCGCCCACCTGGCTTTACTGGGTCGTTCCCTCCTGGTACCCAGTGGAGCCTCCGGCGGCCAGTCTACGGTCTCCGTCAGGCACCGCGTGAGTGGCACGACACACTGAGGACGACACTTGCGGCTCTTGGGTTTGCTCCGTCGACTGCTGACCCGTCGCTGTTTCTGCGCACCGACACTTCGCTGCCGCCGTTCTACATCCTCGTGTACGTCGACGACTTGGTCTTTGCCACTGCTGACACTGAGGCTCTCGCCCTGGTGAAGTCGGAGCTGCAGAAGAGACACACGTGTACAGACCTGGGTGAGCTGCGCAGCTACCTTGGCTTGCAGATCACCCGGGACAGAGCACGCCGCACCATCACACTGACTCAGTCACACATGGTGCAGCAGGTCCTTCAGCGCTTCGACTTCACCTGGTCCTCAGCACAGGCCATTCCTCTGGCTACAGGTCACTCGCTCTCAGCTCCACCTTCGGACGAGTCCGTAGAGCCGAGTGGTCCTTACCCAGAGCTAGTGGGCTGCCTCATGTACCTGATGACCTGCACTCGTCCTGACCTTGCGTACCCTCTTGGCCTTCTGGCTCGCTACGTGGCTCCTGGTCGGCACCGAAAGGTGCACATGGATGTTGCTAAGAGGGTACTGCGCTACTTGTGCAGTACATCGGGCATGGGGCTCGTGCTTGGAGGACGGGGCGACGTTGTCCTCACAGGTCACTCAGACGCTTCTTGGGTTGACGACCTGGCTACGCAGCGGTCGTCACAGGGTTACACCTTCAGCCTTGGCTCTGGCTCTGTTTCTTGGCGGTCTACACGCTCTTCTTCTGTTCTCAGCTCCAGTTGCGAGGCTGAGATCTACGCTACAGCCATGGCTGCTCAGGAGTTACGCTGGCTTACCTACCTGCTGACCGACTTGGGAGAGCGGCCTCGTTCTCCTCCAGTGCTGTACGTAGACAACAAGGCCGCCATTGCCTTGTGTCAGGAGCACAGACTGGAGCACAGAACGAAGCACATCGCTCTGCGTTACTTCCTTGCTCGAGAGCTGCAGCAGCGTGGTCAGCTACGCCTTGCTCACGTGGCCACTCGGGCCAACACTGCTGATATATTCACCAAGGCACTTCCGTCTGGTGATCATCAGCGCTTTTGTACCTTGTTGGGCCTTGTGCCTACGTTTCCTCACTTGCTGTAGGCTTTGTTTGTACTGTGATCTATATATATATATACCTGCATGCTTGTTCTTGCTCGGTAGAGATCACTATGCTGTTGTTGTTGCATATATACCTCTGCATGTGAACTGGCCTTGTGGCCCTTTGCTTGTGCTCAGCGTGTGTGGTGACGTTGTGATCCACCCTGAGCTTGCTTTGCCTCTCTTGACTGGTCTTGTGACCCCTTGCTCTCCCCCACTTTGCCTATGGGGGTGTGTGAAATGATATATATGCTATATATGTTTAGGCTGTAGTGGGGTAGCTGACATGGGGTATAGCCCCATTAGGGTTTCACATTTGTACCCAACTCTGTTCAAGTCCATTCATTCCTGCCTAGACTTTTGACAAGCTGCGCCGCTACCTTGGCCTGAAGGTCACCAGGAACAGAGCCGCTCACACCATCACACTCACACAGTCACACATGGTGCAGCAGATCCTGATGACTTGTACTCGTCCGGACCTCGCCTTTCCCCTCAGCGTCATTTCTCGCTTTGTTGCAACTGGGAGACACCGTCCTGTTCACTGGACGGCTGCTGTAAGGGTTGTGAAGTACCTGGCGACTACATCAGGCATGGGGCTTGTGCTTGGAGGGACACAACCAGTTGTGCTGACCATTCACTGCGACTCTTCCTACGACGACGACGTGCGGGCAGATAGGTCTACTCAAGGCTACTGCTTCAGCTTGGGCGTTGGAGCTATATCGTGGAGGTCTACTCGGTCGTCGCCTGTGGCACAGTCTAGAGCAGAGGCAGAGATCTACGCCGGCGATGGCTGCGCAGGAGCTTCGTTGGTTGACCTTCTTGCTCACCGACCTTGGTGAGTGGCCGAGCTCCGCACCGACCTTGTTCGCTGACAACAAGGCCATGATCCTCCTGTGTCGAGAGCATCGACTGGAGAGCAGAGTGAAGCACATCGACGTTAGGTACTTCCTTCTGCGAGAGCTGCAGCGATGCCACCAGGCATGTTTGGACTTTGTCTGTTTGCAGCTGGGCCTTGTTGAGGCAGGCCCTCGGTTGCTGTAGTCTTACCTCTTGTTTCTTGATCTGTTTGTCCTTGCATTAACGTATACTTGTGAACTCTTGAACTGGCTTTGTGGCCGCTTGCTTGTGCTCAGACTGTGTGGTGACTTAGTGATCCACCCTGAGCTTTGTCTTGTTGCTTCTCTTGACTGGTCTTGTGACCCTTTGTTTGCTCTGCTTGCCTTGATGCCCCTCACCTACCGTAATTCAACATTCTCACTACCTATCTAAGAGTTTTCCATGAAACTGGTTTTGTTTGTGGGAACTAGCACGAAGCCAGCCAAGCCGGTGGTGATCGTTGGAAGTTGGAACGTACATTCACTGAGAGAGCCATTGGCACTTGCACTTTCAACAAAGTGAATACTCTGCCGTGAACTGAGTCACAAGAGCAGGGAGTCGCACATCTGAAATGGAATGTCAACGACTTCCCACAAGCAACCCACTGTATACTGCCAACCCGTGCAGCAAGGGGTTTGCCTCACAAGCAATCCATGATGACAGTGCCATCCTTATCAGTTCGTCATCTCGTGTCATGTCGTTGTGCCCACCACTGTCAGTTGTCAAGCACCAGAATCTCCGCGTCTTGCCCTCTGCATAACACACACACAGCAGCAGCAGAAGCGCAAGGGACAGGCAAGAGAGTGAGCAAGGAAGAAGGGGTGAGGCCGCAGCAGCAATGCAAACAGCTCCTGCCACACAGGCTTGAGCAACTTGCCACAAGACACAATCACAACCACCCCTGCCCCCCCGACCCCACAGGACTCACAGTGCATGGGTGCGGATGAGCAGGTCTCCCTCCCTCCGCCGGGGCACCCCCTCACGTTCCATCCGCCTGCTCGGCTGTGTGTTGCCTCGCCGCAACACACACCCGCTGCTCCCCTCCCGCCCGCTACTCCCCTCTCTTCCGCTTCCGCCCCTTCTCACTGCTGGCGCCGGGGCTGCCCGCTGCCGTGCCCTCATCCCCCTCTCCTGCCTCGTGTCAGTCCGTGAGCGTCGCATGGGAGGTGGTGCAGGCACCGTTCCGACATCCTGTTTCGCACATGCACCCATTGATTCCCTCTGCTCCCGCTGCTCCCGCGCCCGCCTCTCCTGCCTTGTGTCAGTCCTGGACCGTCGCATGGGTGGCATCGCTGCTTCCACCATTCCCGCATCTTGCTTCACACACACACCCATCTGCTCCCTCTCCTCCATTTGCTCTCGCTGCTCCCGCGCCTGCCTCTCCTGCCGTGTGTCTGTCCGGGACCGCCGCATGGGAGGGGGCACAGGCGGTGGTGATATGACTGCATGCTCCACGCCCCCCTGCATCACCCCCACACTAGGCCCAATGCTCACCACCCCCCTTTCCAACTCCAAGCACATCTCCACCCCATCCAATCCCATCCCCACCCCACCAGCACCCATCCCAACCGCTTTCTCACAGAGTTCCTCCAACCTCCTCGACTCCCCCCTTCCCGGCATCTTCACCATCCAAGCCTCTCCCTCCTCCCACTCGCCCTCCCTCACTCGCACCTCCCTCACTCCCCTCTCACCAGCCACTGCCAACAACTCTTCCTCCTCCTCCACGTCCCTCCTCCTCCTCTCCCTCTCCAACTGCTGCTCCAGCTCCCTTAAGCTCGCCTCCTCCTCCTGGGCTGCCACGTCAGCCTGGTGCCGGTAGCTGCTGAAGGGCGGGTGGTATACCACCGCACTCGCTTTGAGGCCCACTGCTCCCTTCACTCCTGCTATTCCTGGCCCCTCTGCTGCTCTCCCTGGTCTTGCTTTCCCAGTCGCAGCAGCAGCAGCTCCATTCTTGGGAGCAGAGACAGCGCCAGCACCATTGGCAGCCACTGCAGCAGCAACAGCGCTAGCACCACCGCCGTTTGCAGCAGTAGCGGCGGCGGCAGCAGCAGCGGCAGCAGCAGCAGGGCAGCGGGTGCTGAATCGCTTCCCACCAGCCAGCAGGATGGGCTGCGGGTGCAGGAGCGCGGGGGTGGCAGAATTGGCACGGCTCAGAGGCCTAGGCTTGGCCGAGGCTGAAGCCGAAGCTGAGAAAGAGAGCGAGAGCAAGGGGCGAGGGACGAGGGACGGGGGCGACGGGAGAGGGACGAGGGACGCGGGTGGAGGTGACAAAGGGAGCGGGGGAGAGGGGCGAGAGGTGGAGGAGGAAGGTGGGGTGTGGCTGTGAGTGCAGCTGCTGTTGTTGCTGCTGCTGCTGCTGCTGCTGCCAGCAGTGGCCAGGCTAGTCTTTGTGTTGCCTCCAGGGTGGTAGGTTATGCTATGGGCAATGCGCTTCGGCTGGGTGCCACTGACGCCTCCTCCTCCCCCACTGCTGCCAGTGCTGCTGCTCTTGTGGAAAACCACCGCTGCTCGCCCGCGCTCCTCCCGCACTCCCGTGGTGTCAACCTGCCTCTCACTCTGCCGCTGACTCGCCTCCACCGCAGCAAGCGAGGCAGCAGCGGACTGCTGCCTTCTCAGGCCGTGGGACGGCGGTAGGCGTGGGGAGGGCGGGAGGCGCGGGGAAGGTGGGAGGCAGGACGATGACGCTGCTGACGCGCGCGAAGGGAGAGCAGGTGGGGATATCAAGTGCAAAGTGCGGCTTTCCATGCGTGTGTCATCATCAGGACTCTGGGGAGTGGGTGGGGGTCCCACCGGTCTCGACCGCCCCCTGCTCACCGCGCTGCTACTGCTCTTCCGCCTGCCTCCCTGCCCGCTGGTGGTGCTCTTATCAGCCCCGCCCAACTGCCACCATGCCGCCGCCACGTGCTGGGCCTTTCCCGCCGTTGCTGACGTCAACACCGCGTCATACCCCTGGCGTTCACTCTCGCCTTCCTCCGTCTCACGGCTCTCAGGCACAGCTTCTGTGGCTGCTGCTCCTGCTGGTGCTGGTGCTGCTGCGGGTGGTGTTGCGGGGGCAGCAGCTGCGGGCACGGGGAGGTACTCGGTGGGGTCAAACGCGCGCACGCGGTTGCTCCCGCGCACGCCCTCGCAGCGCAGCAGCACGGGTCGCTCACCCTCCCTGCTGCTGCGGTCGCTGCCACTGCCGGTGCTGCCATCACTGCCGTCACCGTCGCCTCTCCTGCCCGTCTGCATGTCGAACGCCTGTGCTGCAGCTCGGGCGACGGCGGCCCTGCTGGCTTGGCGGACGGCACGGGGCGGCGCAGCGGAAGGGACTGCTGCATTTGTGTGGAGAGATGTTGCAGACGCAGTTGCTGCGGGACGAGCAGCGCGTGTGGATGCTCCCACACAGCCACGCGCCTTCTCCTGTTCTCCGCTTCCGCTGCGCTCGCCACTCTCTGACCCAGAAGCTGATGCCGTTGCTAGCACAACACGCCCCTCGTCCACCAACAACACGCCCTCCTCCGCCTCTTCGAACCAATCCTCGTCCCTCCTAACCACTCCCAACTCTGTTACGACTACTTCGGCACGCCCCTGCCACTGCGCTTGCTGCTCCTTGCTGCCGCTGCTTCCCTCCACGCCCCACGCGTCTTCGCCGTGGCCACTCGTCGCTGCGGACAGCACGGCGCTGCTTTCATCCTCGCTATGGTGTGCCTTCATATCCGCATCCAAATCCCACCGGTCAATCCCCGCCTCCCCCTCGCTGCATGTATCGCGCCAGCTGCTGTTTGCACTGGATTCCGCTCCCCCTCGCGGGAGAATTACCTCGTCACAGCCGCCATATGCGTTGCAAGGACGGCCGCTAGCTAACGAGTCATCATCGTCATTGTCACGCAAACCCCAGCTACCGCCGCCGCCACTGCCGTTATCCCGTTCGTGTTGCTCCCCGTCCGTGCTGCCACTTCCCGTTTCCTCTCTCGTGAGTTGCCGTTCCTTTAGAAAATCCTTTTGCCCCGTTTCCTTCGGAACCGAATCAAGCCTCGCACGTCGTTCATGCTGAGCGGCTTCGAGGCTCGCGCGCCTTCCCTTCTCCGCGATGTACTTTTCCATCTCCCTCCGCCATTCGTCCACGTCAGCAATGTCGCTATGCGTGTCGCTTCGATCCAGCGACCGCTGTTGCCAACCCTGCGCCTTCCCCGTTCCGCCTTCCCCGCTTTCCGCCTCCCGCACGCCAGTGCTGCCGCTCAACGCCGCCCCTGCAGTTCTCGCGCGCGGAACGTGCATTTGAGAATCCCCGCCTTCCCCCGCGGGCGCGCGCACCAGCTCGTACACGAACACGCTCCGCCTGCCCTTCCCCCGCCGCTGCTTCTTGCGGAACACGCCGCCTCCGCCACCCCGAGCATCAGCTGACGGCCTTCCCCCTTTCACGATTAGCACGTCGCGAGCGCGCCGCTCGCCGTCACCGCCTTCGCTGCGCGCCGATAGGAAACGCGTCGTCCGCGCCGGCGCCGCCGCGTCGCCGCCCAACGCGATGGCGCTGCTGCTGGCGCCGCTACACGTGTCAATCGCCGGCTCCGCCGCCGTGCGTCCGATCGCTGTCACCGTCGTTGCGTCCTCAGTCGAATTGCCGATCTGGCTTCCGCCGGCCCCTCCTTCCGCAGCTCCTTCCGCCCCTTCCGCTTCTCCCGCTCTGGCCGCTCCTGCTACTCCCGCCGCGGCGTCCCAAAACCAGCGCGCAATTTCCATGGTCGCTGTTCGCGGCCTCGATTTGGAACGGTTGCGCGACGGCACCGGCTTACTTGCGCAGCCGCGGTGAGGCGGCAGCACGTGGTTACCATGTAACTCGGATTTCGCTAACTCGACGTCGATTGAGACAAAGCCCTCGTTACAATTCAACGGCATCCCAGCAGGGTCTGGGATGACCAGCGACGGTCGCGCGCGCAGCGACGTGCGACTCTTTGCGATACTGGCGGAGGTGACGGTCGCGACGACTTCTGTCACCTTAGCGTGCTTTGGGTTTGCCCGCGCCGCCGCTGCTGGCGCCGACTCCGCGGCGACGGCGTCTTGTTTCTCGTCCGCGCCGTCGCCGGCTCCGGCGCCATTTGGTTTGCGCTTCGATTTGTTGTGGTTCGTGGCGTTCCCCGCGTGAGCAGCGCGGCTCTCGGTGCCACTAGTAGAGAAGTACCGCCGCGCAGCGTTGTTACTAGTAGGCGACGGCACTATAACGGGAGGAACAGAGACGGAGAACGGGGCGAGTTCGCGATGAGGGAGGACATCATTCCGCCCCGAGTGAGCGGATTCCGATGCCCAGAACGACTCGTTTTCCCGCCGACCGTAGTACGAGGTGTCGTTGGCTCGTCGATCCACGTGTCGCACGTGGCGTCGCAAAGAGTCGCCACGGGAACCGCCCTCGCTGGTGGGCGAGCAGCAGACGGGGAATGCTGCGACGCACGCGGCTGCGGGGCTCGTGAGCGGCCGCGTAAAGACCGGCAGGGACGAGAGAGAGGGAACTTTCTGTACGGTCCGGCTAGCTGGTGTTGCTTGCGAAAAGCTTTCGTCGAGAGACACATCGTCGCCGAGATCGCCGAAATCGACGTGGAAATTGTGCGGAGAGAAGCAGGCCAGCGGGGAAAACATGGCGGCGACGCCGAGACCCGCGCAATTCGCGAACGGGAGGGAACAACCTATCGAAGGAAAACTTGCAAGACCTAACAGGCTGTTTGACCGTCAGGGTCGAGAGTCTCACGCTAATTACAAAGCATTCTGATGATGCTATATTAGAATGGAGGTTCCACCAACAGTCGACACACTCGCTGGTGACGATCAGAAAGTCCTAAAATGGAGGGAGCGAAAGGAACGACAGCGAGAATGGAGGGCCGCGACTTGCGGAGGGGGCAGTGGTGACTGTCCTTGTTTCCCTCTCACCTCCACCTCCGCTTTTTGGCTCCACCTCGCCTTGTCATCAAACAGGCACCCCTATTGGGATTTCTATGATTGCTCGTACTAACTCGTCGTGACTCGTGGTGACTCCTCATCGAATAGGTTCGCCGAATCCCTGGTCCAAGTGACGGGTAGATTCGCGAACTCCCTACAATTCCGCACCGCATTTGAAAAATGGGTTGCGCTGGCGTCAGAATGGAGCATTGCGGCGAATGGTTCCAAAAATAGGACAGGGTAATGAGACGAAGATTGCTGAGATAAAGCCAATGGGATTAAGGACCACGCGACGCGGATCAGGGCTCCAGGCCCAGCCAGATCCCCTCCCCCCCCCGAGCATGCATATTTGAGAGTTCTCTCTGTCTCGCTGGCATAGCGGGGGTGAGAAAGACGCTCTGTTTGGAAAGACGCTTTGTTTGGAAAGACGCTTTGCTTGGAGAGGGATTTAGGTGGTTGGGAGTCACTCACGGTTTGGCACTTTACACGGCGGCTGGGCACGGTGCAGTGTCGCATTTCTGTTGTTTGGTTCGAAAAGGGTGGGCTGGGGAAGGGGGAAAACGGGACCACCAGACCAGAGTCTTCCATTTTCTTCTCCTGGGAGGAAATTTTCTGAGGATGATGGGTCGTGCGAGCGAGCTACTGTATCAATTTGACCATATGACCCACCAAAAGGCCCCTTTCGAACCTCAGTGAATGTTCCCCTCCCCTGTACGCAGATTGGATTTTTCGAACCGCCCCGCATTGGATTTTCGGTTTCGGGCGGGGCATTTAGATTTTTCTGGCTGTAATAATTCATCCTGTCCATAGGATACTGCCCACCGAATTCTCGTGGCAGACAGACAGGAACTGCCGCAAATCAGCGTCCAATTGCCACGCAGTCCCTCCGTGCCTTACTTCTGCCAGCAGCAACCTCCAACCAGCGCAAGGAACGGAATGTGCCCACCCTCCAGGCTGGAACGCGCACTCTGGGTACACTGAGAGGGTTTCCACAAGGCCTACCTGCACAGTATCGCAGCGGCAGCATTCTCGCATTCGCTTCGCATCGCACACGGCAAGGGCGGTGCCAGGGATTATTCTACTCGAACAAGACGGATCGTTATGGTTGGTATCTGAATAAGGATCGGTGGTTATATAGGTTTCACACTTGGATAGTATGGCCAACCATAAAATTTATGCAACTAGCTCTAGTCAATTTGTAAGGAATTTCGTTTCCCTTATCAGGTTCTACTCCTTCACGTGCACTATGAACTCTTGGAAGTGATGGGTCTGTTACGATATGGAATTTGAGGCAACTACGTCCGTTGACAACTTTGTACCGGGTTTGCATTGAAACCCGCGTCTCACAATTTCGATCGTATTACACTTGGTTGGGTGGAGGCACCTGGGATTGGTGCACGAGCAGCGAAACTCTGAACGAGATGAGGGGTGATTTGGGCGAAAGCTGAACACTGTACCTCCAAGACCAAACCATCCGCCCTAACCAGTTGACACACCCAAACCTATGCAAACAGGTTCGTCAGGATGACACTCCCTGCGACAAACCCAGACGACGGAAGCAGAAACACAGTTTCGAGAACAGTCATTTCTCTCCAGCACCTCGTCATCCACCTCATGATGGTTCAAGTAAACGCATAATGCACACCGTCATTCACACCAGCCCCTACAAGGCTTAGAATAACACACCGTTTCCCCAGTCATTCGGTCGTGAAAAGCTCCTCTCACATCTAGCTAGAAAATCTCCAATGACGGGTCAAGCGGATAGTGGGCACGTCGCAAGGGGAATGGCGGAATCCTCTGATGCCGTTGCGGATCGAGGCGCCGTGGAAACCGCTCGTGAGTAAAACAATTCGCGCGAATCGCACACGGTATCACACCCGCTTCCCCCACTGCTTCAAGGCCCTTGGCCTCCACGGTATCGCACCCCCTTCCCCACGGTCGCCTTCAACGTCCTTCCGCGGTCTCACTCCCCTATTCCCCACCGTCGCACACCGCGCTTCCCCACAGTCGCAACTCCCATTTCCCCACGCAATCACTCCCCTTCCCCGTCGCGTTCTCTCCCTTCCCCCATGCTAGCGGGCCCGTTTCCCCCCATGCGCGCCCTCCCCCTCCCCCTCGCGGGCGGTCCCCTTCCCCGTCGCCCGCGGTCCCCTACCCCGTCTTTATATCTCCCCTTTCCCCACACTATCACTCCCCATCCATGTCGCATTCACACTGCCTTTCCTCCCTGTCGCTCCCCTTCCACGTCGCAAGCACTCCGCTTCCCCGTCACTATCACTCACTCGCGTTCTCACCCCTTCCCCCTCGCTCGCGTGCCCGTTCCCCCCCATGCGCGCCCCCCCCCTTCCCCCTCGCGAGCACTCCCCTTCCCCGTCGTGCGCACTCCCCTTCCTCGTCGCGTTCTCTCCCCTTCCCCCTCGCTAGCGTGCCCGTTCCACCCCACGCGCGCCCTCCCCTTCCCTTTCATCGCAAGCACTCCCCTTCCCACTCGCTATCTCTCCCTTTCCCCCCAGCTAGCACTCCCCCCCTCCTCCCTATCACCCCCCTTCCACGTCACAAGCACTCCCTTTCCAATCGCTATCACTCCCCTTCCCCATCGATAGCTCTCCCTTTCCCCACCGCTAGCACTCCCCTCCCCCGTCCCTATCACTCCCTCCCCGTCAATATCACTCCCCTTCCCCGTTGCTATCACTCCCCTTCCCCCTCTCGTTCACTCCGCCCCTCCTCCCTATCACCCCCCTTCCACGTCACAAGCACTCCCTTTCCTATCGCAATCACTCCCCTTCCCCATCGATAGCTCTCCCTTTCCCCACCGCTAGCACTCCCCTCCCCCGTCGCTATCACTCCCTCCCTGTCAATATCACTCCCCTTCCCGGTTGCTATCTCTCCCCTTCCCCGTCACTATCACCCCCCTTCCCTGTCGCGTTCTCTCCCCTTCCCCCTCGCTCTCGTGCCCGTTCCCCCCCATGCGCGCCCTCCCCTTCCCCCTCGCGAGCACTCCCCTTCCCCGTCGCGTTCTCTCCCCTTCCCCCTCGCTAGCGTGCCCGTCCCCCCCCACGCGCGCCCTCCCCTTCCCCTTCGCTAGCATTCCCCTTCCCCCTCGCTATCTCTCCCTTTCCCCCCAACTAGCCCTCCCCCCTCCTCCCTATCACTCCCCTTCCCCTTCACTAGCGTGCCCATTCCCCCATCACTAGCACTCCCCTTTCTCGTCCCAAGCACCCCTCTCCCCCATCGATATCACCCCCCTTCCCCATCGATAGCACCTCCCTTCCCCATCGCTATCACACCCCTTCCCCCCCAACCTATCACTCCCCTTTGCGTCTTTAGTGCTCCTCTATCCCGTCTCTAGCTCTCCCTTTCCGCGTCGCTTGCACTCCTTTTTAATCGAAGCGATTTCAGAGGGACAGCAAATAGTTCCCTTCATGATGAAATCGCGTGGGTATTGCGCAGTGACTGTTGTACATTTGTGTTCTTTTTCTCCCCAGCCAGGTTGGTGAATTCAAATCTGACCAATGGAAAAAAGTGATGCCACCTAGCAAACACCGGAGGATGGAAGCGTTGGTGCCATCACCCATATTCGATGCCAACCTACGAAGCACAATCAGCTATATAAACAACAAACATGCATTCATTCTTCAATTTCTTTAATGAAATAATAGTATACTAACTCTTGGGTATTACAAATTCAGTGCCATTCAAAATTACTGGTATGTTAAGACCCTAGGGTCTTATATCCGAGAATTACGGTACAAAAATGATGGCATACATGTTAAATATGGACAAACCGATACCCGCTATAGCACAGCCCACTCTAGCCTACAAGAAGACACGCAATTATGCAAATCTTTACGTTAACAACACCCCTTGGGTGCGATATATAAAATATATATATATATATACATATATTAGCCAGTCCAAATCAGCTCGTTGAACTGAATTGCATTTGATGGAGCATAGCGGAATGATGTGTGACCAGCAGGAGATGGGTACATATGGCAAACCTTAGAAAGTATTGAACCCTGTACAATGCACCTCGCTGTAGCCTAACAAACCTAACACATGTATGAATATAGTCAGACACACCTTCATAGTCTAAGTGGGGGGCATCGCACAAACAAGACAAACAAGAACCCAGTGCGGCTCAACTAGTCCAACCATTAGGACAAACAGTCACAAGACCAGTCAGCAAAAGCAATACAATAAGAGATGCAACTCAGGGTGGCAGAACTAGTCCAGTCTCCAAGACAAATGGCCACAAGGCCAGTCAAAGAGTATATATATATATATATGCGTGTATATGTATATGTATATATATATATACATAGCAATACAAATAGTTAAGGAACAAGAGGGAAGCATACAGTAAACGAGGGCCTGCCTGAACAAGGCCAAGCTGCGACCAGAACATGTGGTGGTCCCCACGCAGAAGGGCCTTGGTGAAGATGTCCGCAGCGTTGGCCGCCGAGACCACAAAGACCAGGCGTGCCAAGCCGCGTCCCTGCAGATCTCGCAACAAAAATATCGTGGATGGATGTGCTTCACTCTGCTCTCCAGTCAAGGCTTTAAAGACAGGAGGATCATGGCCTTGTTGTCAGCGATTAAGGTCGGTACAGAGCTAGGCCGCTAAACTAGGTCAGTGCGCAAGAAAGTCAGCCAACAGAGCTCCTAAGCAGCCATGGCACCGGCGTAGATCTCGGCCTCAGCACTGGGCGAAGCCACTGATGACGACAGAGTAGACCTCCAAGACACTGCTCTAGAGCCCAAGCTGAAACACTTTCCTTGAGTCGACCTGTTGGTCTCCTCAGGACGAGTCGCAGTGCTCGGTAAGTCGCACTGGCTGAGTCCCTCCAAGCACAAACCCCCTGCCTGTCAGAATGTCATTGTTCTCTAGCCTGCAGTGGGGTACTCTATAGCGAGTACAACCCCTTAGGGTTTCCTATATGTATCCTGCTGCTTTCTAGTGAACCCTCTCTTCTTCTTTTGCCTAAACTTCTCTTGCCTAGCTAGGACTTACCTAGCTATGGCTCCTAACTCTACCTACTATCTTCACATGGTATCAGAGCAGGTCGATCCCCTTGGGTCGATCCTGTGGGTGGGCTCACCACCTCACTGCTTCCGCTGCTACTGCTACTCTCTGTGTCGCACGCCCCGTGGCGTGCGACGGATTTTTCATCCCGCCGCGCGCTCGGAGCGTGCGGCGGTTTTCTGCCCGCCGTGCGCCCCGAGGCGCGCGGCGGTTTTCTGCCCGCCGTGCGCCCCGAGGCGCGCGGCGGTTGTCTGCCCGCCGTGCGCCCCGAGGCGCGTGGCGGGTTTCTGCCCCGTCACTCCGCGCGTCGCTCCCGGGAGGCGCTGCGACGGGCGACGGGGACCCGCGCGTCGCCCCCCGTCGCCCGTCGTGGCCTGCGCGCGGCTCGTACAGCCTGCGCGCGGCCCGTACGGGCTGCGCCAGGCCCGCGCGCGGCCCGTACGGGCTGCGCCAGGCCCGCGCGCGGCCCGTACGGGCTGCGCCAGGCCCGCGCGCGGCTCGGGCCGCCTGCGCGCGGTTCGGGCGGCTGTGCCAGGCCCGTGGGCGGCCCGTTCTTCGCTGCCCCTACGCTGCCCGCTGTCCCCCGTGCTTCTGATGGCGCCCCACCCCTGCTGCTGCCCGTTCTCCTGAATTAGGGTTTGGGGGTGGGGGGTATGGGGGTGCAGCTTCTGTGTGCCGTCCCCTGCTCCTCCTCCTCCTCCGTCTCCCAGTGCTGCAGCTGCCGCTGAGGGGGGTGGACCTGTTGGAGCCGTCGGAGTGGTACTAAGGGGGGTGAAGGGGGAGTGGAGCTAGGGGTGAAGCAGGGGGTGTGTGTCAGGGGGAGTGGGACTGTTTGGGGAGGTTGAACTGAGGTTGCCGTCGTGTCGCCAGCAGCACCTGTAGTCCGGGGAGTTGCTCCGGTAGCCCAGTCGCAGCCAGCTGTGCCAGTCGTCCGTGGGTCCGTTGCTCGTCTGCCGCTACTTTTAGCCGCGGAGCCAGTTACTCCAGTAGTCCGGAGCGTTGTTCCGGTAGCCGCTGTGCCAGTGTGACTCCTGTTGCCCGTGTGTCTGCAGCTTCAGTCGTCGCCTCCTATCTCCTCTCCTCTCACTCTCGCCTCCTCCTCCTCACTTGCCCTCTGCGATAGCCTCTAGCTTTGCTCATAATTGTGAACTTTAAACTATTGCTTCTTGTACTTGTGCTCAGAATGTGTGGTGACATTGTGATCCACCCTGAGCTTGTTCTGCTTTGCTTGCTCTGCTGATTACACCCCACTTTGGCTATGGGGGTGTGTCAGAATGTCATTGTTCTCTAGCCTGCAGTGGGGTACTCTATAGCGAGTACAACCCATTAGGGTTTCCTATATGTATCCTGCTGCTTTCTAGTGAACCCTCTCTTCTTCTTTTGCCTAAACTTCTCTTGCCTAGCTAGGACTTACCTAGCTATGGCTCCTAACTCTACCTACTATCTTCACACTGCCTGATATGGTGTACAGGTACTTCGCTACCTTCTTAGCAGCCGTCCAGTGAACCTGACGGTGTCTCCCAGTCGAAACAAAGCGAGTAAGGACGCTAAGAGGATAGGCGAGGTCCGGTCGTGTACACGTCATCAGGTACATGAGGCAACCCACAAGCTCTGCACAGTGCACACCAGGCTCAACTGGCTCGTCGGAAACATTTTAAGTGAGCATGTGGTCAACAAAAAGAGGAGTGGGCTTTGTGGTGGAGAAATGGAAACCGAAATGCTAAAGGACGTGCTGCATCATGTGTGATTAGGTCATAGTTGTCGCGATATATATTTTATATATATTTATAACTGCCTGTAGCTAAATCTATGTTACCTTGCTGTTGGTGGTTCACATTTGGTTTGACCTATATGTTGTGTTGTTTTCTCATTAGTGAACAACCTATTCTCGATTCTCCCTTGGCACAACTCACTCGACACCCGCTTGGCCTAGGCTTCTAAGCCCATGCCCTTGCTAAACCCGGTTCCTAGTTAAGTTAGCATTGTGACATGGTATCAGAGCCGTAACGTTCCTATGGGCCCACCATTTGACGCACTCGTCATGGCGCCCGTCATATCCTTAGTTGCGACCTTAGTGACAGGCGCCACGGCGAGTACTTTCGCGGCCATCCCGTCGCCTGTCTCGTCGCGACGCCCAGCACGACGGTCGCGGCGGACGCTATGGCGAACGCCAGCGGACCCGCCAGCAACCCGCCAGCGAAATCGCCAGCGGCCCACCAGCGAAATCGCCATTGAAATCGCCAGCGGCCCGCCAGCGCGCTCGCCCACGCGCCTGCAACCCCGTCCGCGACCACGCCAACGCGCACGCCAAGAACGCACCAGCAAAATCGCCAGCAAGCACGCCAACAAACCTGCCGCCGGACCTGTCAACGAACCTGCCGCCGCACCTGTCAACGAACCTGACGCCGGACCTGTCAACGAATCTGCCGCCGGACCTGTCAACGAACCTGCCGCCGGACCTGTCAACGAACCTGCAGCCGGACCCGCCGTCGGACCCGCCAACGAGCACGCCAGCAAGCCCGCCGCAACACAACGCCAGCAGCGACAACGCCAGCGACACCCGCGACCGCGAGTGACAGCGCCAGCAACTCTCCGCCGCACCCCCCCCCTCCCCCGTCGCCTTCCCCTCTGCGACTACGGCTGTTGGGGGGGACGAGGTGTGGAAATGGTGGCCGCTGTGCCTCTCCCCTCCCGCGGCTGCTGCTATGGGGGGGAGGTGGCGGGGACGGGGGGGTGGGGGGGCTGGCTGCCGTGTCAATGACTATGCAGGGACCATCGTGGGTGGGGAGGGGTCTGGAGGAAGAACGGGGGGGAGGGAGTGCGGTTCCATGGGGCGGCTGGAATGGGGGTTGATGTTAAAGGGGGGTGGTTGATTGGGGGTGGGGATGTGGTGTTGAGTGCAATACATGGTTTGCACGGCAACCTACCGCCTATTCGCCGACGGTAAAAGAAAATGGGGAGTTTTGTTTGAAGGTAATTTGTGGCGTGAGAAATGTCATTTCATTTTGCATTTTGTGTGTGCGCATTTTGTGTGTGTTCTGTGCGCATTTGTCCTTGCATTTTGTGTGTTTCATTTTCATTAGTAATTGCATTTTGTGTTAGTGCATTTTCATTTGCGTTTTCACTGTTCTCATGAAGCGCTCAAATGAGGCTCACATGACGCACTCA